AATTTTTTTACTTGTTGAGAAAGTTAAAATCCTGTGGCGATCACTTACTCTTTTTCTGTACCAATGTATTGAGATGTCTAGTTCTTCATAAACCCGAGGAGTACAATAATGTAACAAATTGGTTACACCGTGCAAAATGTTTGCAGCGGAATGACAGAGGGAGCACAATGTGCCCTTGTGTAGGTTCATATCTGTAATGTTCAAACAGACTGACTGTTTCCCTTCATCTGAACTGCTTTCATCTGGACCAGTGTAAAATAAGCTCTGGTAAGTAATCACGGCAGAGCAGAAAGAAAGGAATGTATACAGCAATAGACAGCCTAAGCTGTAAAAACTGTAACCCGAGTATCAGCAGCAGATCAGATATCAAGGCTTTAAGGTAGGGGAAATGAAAGAGATGAAGGGGAGGAAAAGACGAGAGAGGGAATGGAAAAGTCAGCTTGGAAAGTGAAGGAGAAGTAGGAGGGCCCCCTCAGGGAAATTTGGCTCAGGGATTAGGGAATTTTATCATGGTGTACAGTGACCTACTCAGGTTTCAGCCCACGTTGGGTCGAATTGCTTCCCTTTGCTAGCAGAAAGAAAAAGGACTGGTGTATATGTGATTTTTTTTTTTTTCTTTTTTTTTCTTCGGGTAATAAAAAGGCTGTTGGTACAAGTGTCTATTTTAAGTACAGCAAATGCAGGGCACTATGAATGAGCAATAAAATTACCTCATCACGGAGACTTCCTTCCAGATTTGCTGTTTGATACAGTCAGATATTTACCTGAGAAGGGTCACAACACCTAACTGCTTGGTTTGGTGTCTTCCAATGGTAGTGTCACAGCGCGGTTTTAACATGACTGGATGGATATTCAGGTTGCTTGCTCTTTCCTTGTGCCAGATATTAAGTTACATTTTTGTTATCGCTAACCTAATGTACATGATGGTTATAACAAATTTTAATTTGATACAATGTTGTGTGCAAAAAGTACATGACTCTGCACGGTTTTCTGATATTACGTTTCAATGAAAAATATATTCAGGAGGAATTGTTTTGTTTCGCTGTGACCTTCACAGCCTCTCTTCCTTTTTTTTTTTTTTTTCCTTCCTGATTATTGTTTTCTTTTGTCTGCCTTCCTCCTTCAGATGATACTTACCATTTTTATTTCCAGGGGTAGCATTGTTCACCTGGTTCAGCGCAGTGCCATTTCTCACTCAGTGGTGAATGACAGAACACCCGGTAGATCCAGAGCTATTGTAATCAGGCAACCTGCTACTATTTGAAGACTAAGATATCTTTAATGGTTTAATTGGTGAAAGCGTGTGTCAAGGCGTGGTGATGGCTTCCCCATCCATCCTTCCTCAGCTTATTTCCCTTTGCCATCCTGCTGCCAGGCAGCAGTGCCGCTCAGGAGGAGCGGCGAGGTATTGTGAAATGAAGTTGCATCCAGTATGGGTTGCACTGTAAGTTCTCCTGCACAAACAAGACAATGTATCTGCATCTCTCTGTCAGTTGAAAGGCAAGCAATTAATTTGTGCTGTAATTTCACAGGGCTGCTCCGTGTGCCCAAGGAGTTTACCATCTATAAATATTCTCAATAACTAATTTGTATCTAAAATTGGGCTTCGTTCCTGATGCCTAGAGCTTAAGACAGCCCCATCTGTTATAGTTTAATAGTAAACTCATCAGAAGATCTTTCAGTTTAGTGTTTTAATATTCCCCATTTGGCATTTAAAAGTACTACTGTCAGAAGGAGGAAAGCGGTGAAGCAGGCGTAGCAGCGCTGTGCCTGGAGTGAGCCAGATCCCTCGGAGCGCTCAGAAGATTCCAAGGAAACTCCTCCCTTCTCTCCTGAAAAGCAAAAAATGTCTTTGGGAAAGTGGAAAAGCAGACAGACTTTTATCAATTCTACGATTTCAGGAGACTGAAGTGGGCTGGGTTGGTTTTTTTGTTTTTTGGTTTTTTTTTTTTTTGCAGAGTCGGCATGGAAGGAGTTTTGTGGGATGGTTGCAAAAGGGAGTTGTGTTGTCTGCGCAGGGAGCCTCACCTGCCTGTGCATCGTAGAAATAGCGCTTCCCCAAACAATGTGGGTATTACAGAACCAAACGTGTACATGGGAGGACAAATGAAATTAAAGCATCAAGAAATTTTGCTTTCTGATAAAGGTCTAACCATAAAATTCAATATGGCGACAACGTAAATAAGCAAAGAAAGTGAGGGACAGTAAAAAAAAATAAATAAATTCAAGTTCGTATTGTGACTGCAGAACCATTTTTATTTCCTCGGTGCAGTGAAAGTGAAAAGTGAATTTGTGGGGCTCCGCACCGAGCAAGTTGTGCAGGCAAGGAAATGGAATGGAGCCACCGTGCTTCCTCCCAGATCTGAAATAAACATTCAGCAGTAAAACCTAGAAGAAAATGAGTCTGACAGACTCATTCTCCCCTGCGTTTCCTGCCTCCGTGTTTGCCAGGCCTCATTCGGTGAAGCCAGGCCTTGCCCCCTGTGAATAATGTTCGTAGAGAAGGAAAGGCAAGAGGTCTAAGATGGAAAGAGAAGCGTGGCTTAGCTTCAGAATGTATTAATTAGTGAAGATTTGGGAAAATGATGCATTGCAACGTGAAAAATTGAGCTGTAGGTGTACTGTTACGATGAAATGAACCCTAAAGTGGGAATAAATGTGATTATATTTTTACTGCCTAGTGTATAAGTCAGTCTTACGAAGGAGAGAAACCACAGTCTGGCAAGTCCACACGCTATTCTTCATCTTTGCCGTGATTAGGAAGCAAATTCAAGTCAAAATATCAACGAGCATAATAGTTAGTTAGTTATCTTGGCTCTTCCAGGAAGGAGGATATTTCTGTATAGTACAAGAATAGAGAAATCATACAGTTAAAACATGCAGATTACACATTGCCCTGCAGTGGGTGATAAGTGGTTTGGGACTTAGCAGGGGGCGACAAAAGAAGGGCCATCTATTAGGAAGGGAGGGCTTTGGCAGTGTTGCGTGACTGGGCCCGCTGGAGCATTTTGGGGCCAGTTTCTTTGGCAGGGATGAGCTGGTTGTGCCGCAGCCGTGGTGAGTGCCCTGGCAGTTAGGCAGCTGCGGTGCTGTCAGCTCGAGGAGCGCAGGAGATTTGGCTCTGGTGGGATGTTAATGGGCTGCTTGGGTGTGCTGGCGGCTGAAGAGGTTTTTTACGCCGCATCTTGGTGCGTGCATGAGAGGCCGAGCGTGGCGTGGTGGTGTGAGCACAGAAGGACACAGGGCAGCGTTTCCATGCTCGTCTTCTCAGCTCTGACTGTGGCCCACACTGTGGGCAGTGCTGTGGCTCAGTCTCTTGGTTTCCCTGTGAGGGACTGAGCGTTGCCTCCCTGGCAGGGTGAAGTTGGCTTCCGTGCTGTAATTTTGCAATGAAATCCATGGATTCCTGCACGACTTCCTTTGGGTTCAGTGGGATTCATTCTGGGCTCAAGGGACCCAGCTTAGCAGTGTGATTGCTGACTTGGGATTTTATTGATGATGGGCAAGGTTTTCTCTGGTGCGCTGGTCATACCAGCCCTCTGGCAGGGCTTTGGGGTTGTGGCAGCCTCTGTCCTGCAGACCTTCCACATTCTTTTGGGGAATAGGTCTAAAAGTAGGCGTGGACTACCTCAGTGCCTCTGTCCTGTTCCTGCAAAAGCTTGGAATTGCAGCTCCTTGCACATCCTCCATCTGGTCATCCACATCTGTCTTCTCACTGGGCTTTGGCAGGCCCATTGTCTCAGTTCAGCTGATTCCTCTCTAGCCTGTTTCACCACTGCTTCTTCTGTTCTCCTGCTCCAACATCAGGTCCAGCATTCTTGCTTTTCTCAAGCACCATGGTTACAATCATGACCCTTCTTTTCACTAAGCATTTGAAGCTTGTACATCCTTCAGTGAGCTTCTGCTCTGCATATAGAGGTTGTGTATTAATTGGTTTGCTTCCTTTCCTTAATTTCACCAAGAATTAGGCTCCCCACCCCCTGCATTCACACCGAGAAGAATTGTCTCCTCTCATCTCATCACTTCTATTTTGACTATTGCCACCACACTGGTCTTTACATATCCCGTCTTGTTACCTTTCTTGAATCCACATAGACTGGGCCTACCATTGACATGGAAAGAAGGAGGAATATATGGAAACAGTGAAATAATAGTGGTCAGCTCCGGGGCTGCGGCTTCAGCAAGCGCATGACCTGTGCAACCATCACCTTGACGGACCGGTATTAGACATCGCTGCAAACGGGTGTTGTAGTCAGGAGTGTGAGGGAAGGCGATGTCGTAGTTCTGTGGGCACCTGTCTATGCGAGAGAGTTAGGGTGGAAGGAAATGTTTTGCAGCTTTGACTGTCAGCTTGTTGAGGATGGGATCATCCTCTTGGTTTGCTGTGCACAGTGTGCTGTGTAATGAAGCCCTGGCTGTTAGCCACTGGGAGAATAGTATTAAGAGTGATCGCCATCATTGTAATAGGTAAGATAAATTATGAGGGAGAATGGCTTAATTGTTTCTTTTATCCAAGCATCCTTCCTGAGAAATCACAGTGCTTGCTTTTGTTACTGCTAATGCGTGACCTCGTTCTACTCTCACTGAAGTTAATAACAAAGACCACAGTGATTTTTATATTTTTTTAAAGTCGAATCTCTATTATGAGTAATTTATAAATCAAATGTATTTTTTTGTCGTTATGACTGTTCATTTTCATGCATCATTCATCATAGATGGTAAAATGAGGCTTGAAAGGTACTTAAACTTTGTGCCATTACAAACTCGACCATCACTTTGACTAGGTTCTGAAGGGACATACACATGCCTGAATTTTCAGGAAAAAATAAACATATATACAGCCTTGCTCGCATATTCCTTGATGAGTAATTAGGAATTACTCATTGCCTGAGCTGATCAACAGTGCAAATAAAACACAAAGCATCCACAGGAGGCAAATTTAGATCTACTCAATTAATTTGGTTGCATGGGGTTTAAGTCAGGAAGGCTTTGGTCTCTACCTTGCTGGATTAGTCTCTAGGGCTGCGTCTCCATAGTTGAGACTTAGCAAAGCAAGGGAAGCTGGCAGAGCTTGCCTTCGCACCTCCATGGACCCATCAGGTCATTCTGGACCCATCAGGTCATCCTGGGTGAGCTGCAGTGGCGAGGTTTTGCTCCCCATCTTCAGGTCATTTCATTGTTGGATTCCTGTGGGTTAGAGACAGGGTTAGTGCTGGTGGGACTTTCAGCGCGGTGAGAGAAATTTTCTAAAAAGCTAGAAAACAAACATAAAACGTTAGAAAAAATTCCCATTTTTTGCTAGTATTTAAAACTCAGCACTGCATCATTCAAATGAGAGTTTAAATAAATATTTTGGAAATGAGTGTAGTTATCAGCCACATTACACTACATTGTACTTGCTGTTGCAAACTGTAGTAGTGACATAGTTCAGACATAGAGGACTGTCCTACTCATAGTGCTGACAGTAGAGGTAGAGGTGGAACAATGTGATGTTTTCTGGCAATTTGGGGCTGCAAAAGACGTCCACGGAATCGAGACTTCCAGCAGGAGGTCAAGTGAAAAGGAAAGGGGGTCGAAAAACAGAGGGAAATTGATGCTCTGAGGATCTGCTGTGGCATTTTGTTTTGGTTTTTTTTTTTTTCTGTTCCTGAAATGTGTGTTTGTAGCACAATTGCACAGAAGATACTCCTGGAAGAGTATAAATTGCTTGTGTTTATTGCTTATAGCTGTTTTACAGCGCTCCTTGAGTGACAGGAACACCTATGCAATCTGGTGTGATGAATGAGCCAGGAACAGCGCAGCTCTCTGACGTTCTGGGGCAGAGTGCCTGCTGTAGCTTTGAATTCAGAAGCAATTATCATCTGATTAATTTTATTTATTTATTTAAATGACTGGAGAATTGCTGTGTTCTATCATTAGACTTGCTCCCACTCAAAAATTAAGCTGGAGCAGTTACTAGACAAAATCTAGCAACCTGCAAATTTGACAGGTACCATTTGTTTTGAATTGGTGTCGTATTCTCTTTATTCCTTTTCTGGTAGCCAGAGTCCCAGAAGACAGGTCTTATCAGGAATATTATTTTAGATGTCAAGATCTTACAGGAAAATGAAGTTTGGAATTTGTTTTGAAAGAGTGATTAAAAAAATGCAGAGACCAAATCAAAAGGCTCTGTGTGTGGCTTTTTCGTTTCATTTTATAGTTGTCATACTACTTTAGACTGATCTTTGCCGTCGCAATAATTCATTAGCTACTTTCCTTTGGTAGTTTCCTAAATCCGTAAGCCCTAGAGCTCCATGGCACTATTTGGTTTCAGAAAGCTTTGTTGCCTGGCTGCAGATTTCTTAGCTTGCTCCACTAAATCTCCTGGCCCTGTAATGAGTGTTTTCTACAGAAATATTTTGGCCACATGACCTAGAGGATGTGTTTTTAGTAGAATTTGAGAGTTACGACAGTCATGTTCCATATTTTGTATTTCCATACAAACATAGCATGTAACCACACGGCTGCTTGGAAATCGGTTTCAAAAATAAATATGGCAAAACTGAGAAAGGTTTTCTTAAACAAATATAAGAGGCGTTTGTCTGAAACATTATAGTAACATGCTTTCATGGTGAAGAGTTTTTAAGTGGTTTGACTATGCAGGGCCTTATAACTCTGAGGAAAACCATCTCCACTGTGATTTTATTTGATTTGGTTCATGGGCAACTCAAGGAACTGTAATTGTGTCAGTGACCTGTTCCAGCTGAAAAGACTGTAGCGCAGTAAGATTGATTAACTGCTGGCTGAAAAAAAATGCTAGTTTTCTGTTATTCTCTTGCTGCAGTCTTAAATATTTTATGGCAACACAGACAAGTTTGTGTGATGAGTGTATGTTAAAATATTTCTGACATTGAATGCAAGAGCAAAAGTCATAAATTTCTCTCCTTTTCATTTTCTTTAAATTACGGACGTATGAGTCTCTGTCATAATTACATGTGCCAGTTGGAGATTTAAATGCATTACACTTTATGCACTTGACTTATGAAACGAACATTAGTCTTTGAGGAGGTGGGCCAAACCTGACACTTCCTCGTGTAGTACAGATACGGTTCGATTTATGCAGTCCTCCCTTCCTTCCAAATGGTTATTGATTACATAAATAAGTAGGTAATTTTTCTCTTTCAGAACTTTGCAGAAAACACTATGAATGAGCTCCTTGGCTGGTATGGTTATGATAAGGTTGAATTGAAAGATGGAGAAGATATTGAATTCAGGAACTACTCGGCAGATGGGGAAAGCCGCCAGCACATTTCTGTTCTCAAAGGTAATGAGACTTAATGTTTCTGTGTTCACACGAAGAAGGATTAATATCTCAACTTGTCTGAATTGGCATGGGCTGGGAAGCGTGTTCTGCTGCTTGCTTCGTGGTTTGTTTAAATAAAAATATTGGAGACCCCCTTCTAGTACAAGGAAGCCAATAGAGTATGAGGGAAATCACTTAACAAAATTGCTGTTAGTAGGCGCTTACTAGTCTGTCTTCACAAAGAATACCTTTTGTGCGTCAGTTGAAAGCTGTGTACCTGTAGTGCCAATAAACTGCTCACAACTGGGAAAAAAGAGAGAGCGCTTTCTTAGCTGCGTGGCTTTAAGGAACCCTTTTGCTTTCAAAACCCTTTTGCTTTTTGGCCTATGGCTTTTTAAAATGCTGAAAGATTTTGAGCTGGAATATTCACAACACGTGTGGGAATCGGCGTGAATGTTCACAAAAGGCTCCTCAGGGATGATTACTATAGTGTCTTCAGCAAGTGCTGCAAAAGTTCTCCAGGGGTGGAATTTGTTTGGGGCAGCGCAGGATCTTTGTGTACTGTAGTATGAGATAATCCCAAATATGAAGGATGGGATCCAGTCTTTTTGTTCAGCCGTTCGGTTGCTGCCTTCTGACTCTTCAGCCACAGCAAATGGGTAGGGACTTGCCATCAGAGTGAAGTGAAGAGTAGGAAATTGCTGCATCTTGACTTGTCGAACAAGAGTTCCTCAAAGGTGAAGTAGAGAGGGAACTGCAGCAGCTTTTACACTCTTGGACTACTGCTTTTCACTGCGTTTGTGGCCGTGTTTGGGTTTTCTTTCTGTAGACCAGCAGCAGCACTGTATTGAGTGGGTGTTGCAATGCGTGCTGATACCAGAGAGACCAGTTCTGAAGGAGACATGGCTAGAAAAAAGGTAGAAAAATTAGAGGTGAGGTGAAACAACCTAATTGTGTTAAAATTGAATGTTTGCAGCTTGTTAGTTCTATAGTGACTTTGGTGATCAATATTTATTTTTCGTTGAAAATACATTGTCATTAAGCCACCTTTGAAGAAACATTCCTGTGCAGTAATGTGATTAATTTATTTATGTTTTAATAAATAGATCTTTTATTGAATGATTTGTGGCCCCAGTCTATGCCTGATAAAATTTGTGACATAATTTTTTTTATAGACACATGATACAAACCATATGTTTTATGTATCAAACAAAGATGTTGAATAGCCGTGCCAGGTAGAAACTTTTGGTGTATACAGTCTGTGGGAGGGAAAAAAGTATGTTTCTTTTTCTGGGAGATGGGAGAAGAGGGAATAATTAGAATTAAGTCCTGCCCCATAGCTAACTGAGGTGCATTAGAGAAATTCGTACAAATGAGAATCCTGAGGTGACTTGGGATTAAAGAATTGGAATAATAACTGTCATAATTTCATGCACGCTTTGCTGTAATTTCAATATTTTGTTCCTTTCTTTAAATCCTTTCCATTAGTATCTCTATCATTACTGATAGAGAATTAGGAATTCCTTTATTTTTCAGTTTATGCTTCTTGCATTGGTGAAGTCACAGTTCACTGAGTGTGATCACCATGCAAACAGTGGAAGTGAAGGACGTGAATAGGGTATCACTGATTAAATCAGGCATACTAAGGATGTGCATGACGAAATAATCCCACCTTTAAAAAAAATATAGTTGTGTTTAGTGTGAGTTTGATTTATAAAAGTGGAGCATTACTGAAGAATACTGGAAAGTATCCATTTCTTAAAAGGGAAAATATCTGAACGGGGTTGTGCACTCTTCTTGTATTAGGGTAAGTAATTTAATGAACAGATCGGTGAAAGTGTGTAGGGGCATTTAAGAAAGATATTTGTCATGCTGTACAATGTGTTCTTTGTGTTTTACAGAAAATTCTTTGCCAAAACCAAAATTACCCGAGGACAGTGTTATTTCACCGTACAATATAAACCCAGGCTACCCAGGGCTTGCCACAGGAAATGGACTTTCAGACTCACCAGCAGGGTCGAAGGATCACGGGAATGTACCTATTATTGTCCCACTAATTCCACCACCTTTCATAAAGCCACCAGCAGGTAAATCCTAATGAACATTTAAAAATGGTAACTGTCATTGACAGGTGTCCTGACATTGCTAGATTATGATGCCTTTATAAGAGAGCTGATTTCAAAATCTTTAAGAAACGGTCACAGGGAACTTTAAAACAGTGGGAGAGTGACTTTATTTCTTACTAGTCTTGAAAAACTTCTGCAAATGCAATGACAACAGACCTGTGCTGCTTGTGACATTCTCATGTCACACTTGTGTTCTGGATACTCTCAGCACTTCAACAACCTCTGCGTTTTGAAAAAAAATATATTTTGTTTTGATGAATAAAGCCTTTAAATAAATTAATGGAAGATGATTAAATTAAAATAGGCTCTGAGAAGGAAACAGCAAAAAGAGACAAAGCTATCAAATCAATATCATGTCTTTACATCAGGTTAACAAGCTCATCCTGGGAAAACTGTCTCTTGACTCTCATTGAAATCCCTGACCATTGTCTCTTGAGGGTTTAAAATGATCTTGACTCTACCCAGGAGACTGTACTGAGATGTTTTACATTTTCATTAGATTTTTATCAGGAGTGATTTTATAACATGCCATTCCTCAGAGTTTGCGTGAAAAATGATTTATTCCACACTGCGTGCTGCTTACCATAATCTGTGAAAGTAACTCTTACGGCTACATCAGGGTGATTAATCGCTATGTTATTGTTTACTGCTGTACATGGTGTGATAATTGGTGAATGTAGA